GGGTGATTTGGTGATGGGAAACCCGTGGGGATTACAATTGAGATGAAAAAAAAATGTGCAAAATGATGTAAAAATAAACTTTTCAATAAAAAAAAATAGTTGAATGATGTTAACACATTTTGAATAAGGTATCACTATTAAGAGGTATGAAAATTGCCATGTATCTTATTTGAATGTATACTGGTAAAAAATAGTTTATTTAGAAAGAATTTACTGAGTAGACTGACAAGCAAATTAGAACTGCTTGCCTCTGTTCTGTCTAGTAATGGGAAGACGATACAACTTTCTCAGATTACCTATAAAACTTTCACTAATGAACTCTCAGTTTGAGGTCTTACTTCTATGCTAAATCTCCTTTGAAAGGAACATCCCCCTTCTTCTCCACATTATCCCACACACAAAAATGTCCCAAACACATTATGTTGGTTCCTATTAAAGCCATACAAAATTGAATTTTTTCTCTAAAAGCAAGGAAGGGAACATTTGAGGAGCCACTACTAAATGTGGGTGCTTTTATAAATGTTTTCTAATTCAGTTGTTACGATTAATAAGTAAAGAAGTGGAAGTGCACAGAGATCAAGTGTACCCAAGGTTACATACAAATAACAAAAATGGAAATTATTTTATTTACCATTTAGATGCAACTTATTATAGCATTAAAATCTTTATTTTAGAAAATTTGCTATTCTAATAGGATAAGGTTAGTAAAAGTGACTAGAAGAAATGTCTAGCCAGCAGAGGTGATTAGATTAGATAGTCGCAGCAACTTTAATACTATAAATTGGCCTGGCTTCATGGGAAAGTGACCTGGGTCACTACACAGAAGTTCTAGGTTTATAGGGGCCACTGTCTTGGTTTCAGACTCCATTATTACTATTTTGAAATCTCAATGACTTTTTTAAGAAAGGTCTGCACATTTTAATCTGGGACTAGATCCCATAAATTATGTACCTGATCCTTACTATTAAAGCTAACAAAGTGAGAGTGAAGTGTATATACTTAAGAACCTTCATTAAAGAGCCAAGCTGGTTGGATTTCAGTAGCAGGAGTATCTGGCTGGCTGAATAGAAAAAGGGCAAATGGCATCAAGACAAAACTTGCCAAGGGAGCACTTTCCTGTTTATTACCTGGTCTCTCCAGCTGCCTGGTCATTGCTTGTTGACAAACATTTTCAGGTTAGAAAACAGTAACCCCAGCTCAGTACCAACCAGGGGAAGATACATCTAATAGAAGTGGACTCTGACCAGTGAATGTTAATAAACAGAGGACAGCAACCTGACCTGCTTCTTAGTGTGCTCTCTAAAATTCCTTAACACATAAGCATAGGACAAGCATGGGAAAAGAGTCTTGAAACAAAGTAGGGTTAAAAGTGCCTCCCTTTTGTATGTGTCTGGCTAGGGGAAGAATCTAGGAATGTTAAGTCCCAATTACGGTAAAAGAATCTCTCTGTACTCATAAAGGGACAAATTATAAAACTGACTTTCACATTTCCATTTTTTTTTCACCAAAGTTACTGATATCCCAAAGGAATATTAACTCACAGTAAAAAATAACATTTGATTTATATATGCAACACATCCTACATTGGAGGAATGCAAAATAATAAGCATACCTTAAGATATAAGAAAGCTCATTTGACAGATGAAACAGGAAAAAAAATAGTTTTGAAAAAGAATTCATGTAAGTGTATGGAATAAAAAATATGGCTTAGCTGACATGAACATAGCAGGAACACTGAATAGTCTAAGGACAGTAAAAGAGTCAGTGGACTGGAAGATCAGATGTTAGGAAGGATAAAGAAATGGGAGGCAGTTAAAATTTTGAATAGAAATAGTAGAAGAGCTAAAAAGACACTTCTCCAAAGAGGAAAGGCTGACGGCCAACAGGCATATAAAGTAAAGTTCAACATCACTTGTAATAAGGGAAATGCAAATTAAAACCACAATGAGATCTCATGTCACACCAGTGAGAATAGCATATATTAAAACAAGTAACAACAAATGTTGGTGAAGATGTGGGGAAAAAGGAACTCTCCTGCACTGCTTGTGGGAATACAAACTAGTACAACCACTATGGAAGGCTGTTTGGAGGTTTCTCAAACTGCTAAAAATGGAGCTTCCATATGACCCAGCAATCCCACTCCTAGGTATCTATCCAAAAGACACAAAAAGGACACCTGTGCCCCCATGTTTATTGCTGCTCTATTTGTAATAGGGAAGACATGGAATCAACAAAATGACCAAAAAGAGATGCCTGGATTAAAAAGATGTGGTATGTATACACAGTGGAATATTACTCAGCAATCAAAAAGATAAACTCATGCCTTTTGCAGCAACATGGATGGAGCTGGATCCATGGATGGATCATGCTTAGTGAAATAAGCTAGAAAGGAAAAGAAAAGTACCAGATAGTTTCACTCATAGTAAAGCGTAAGGGATCAGGAAAAAAAAAAAAGCAATTGTAATAAAGTAAAAACAAAAACAATGAACAACTGTATACCAAAGACATTTTACAGGGTGGAAAGGGGAATGGGATCAAAATATGTGGGAAGAGTGCCTGGGATGATGGTGATGGCACATGGGTGAATTGGTAATGGGAAGTCCATGGAGATTACAACAGACATGAAAAAAGGCACAAAATGCAGAACGATGTAAAAAATAAATAATATTGAAAAAAAACAGAACATCAATGTCTATAAGGTAGGACTTTTTAAAGTCACACTGCATGTAGCAATTGAAATGAAATGAAAACACCAAAAAAAAAAAATGTAAACTAAATGTAAGCAGGTTTGTGGGTATAAACACAATGAGTTTTATCCTTTATCATGTATGCAAATTGAAAATATGGAATTATATATTTTAAGAATGGGAATATTGATGCTATTAGAATAGGTGCCAGTTAGAATGTGAATGTGAGAAGACAAATGAAAGGAAAATAATTAAAATGAACTGAGAGGTTAAGCCAGAAATTTTAATCAATTAAGAAATTTGTGGCAGCTGCTCCTCTGCCCACCTGTGACTATGCTTCTCTCCACCTGCATGCTCTCTCTCTCTGCAGGGCAGCAGCCTCCTGCCTGCCTGTGACCATGCCATGATTTCTCTGAATTGACCTCCCCAGAGGAGGCTGCTCTCCTATGGCCGTCTGCCTGCAACCATGCAGGCCTCTCTCTCTGCAAAGCTTTTCCTTTTGGGACAGCTCTTCCTTCCCACTGTGCCTATGCAAGTGTGTTAACCTCTCCAATCTCTTACTAATAAGCTTACTCTTTAAATATAATAATAATAATAAAAAGAAATGCATATAACTGCACTCTGAGGACAGAGGGAAGGGAAGATGAATTGGAGGGAGGGACACAGGGAGATATATGTAGGTAAAAGTTTAACTGATTACCCAGTCACAGAGAATGACAAAAAGAAACTAGAAGAATGTTTCTTTACTCTTCACAGTGAAAGTAAATGCAAATCAAACATACTTTTTTATACTAGGCATTTTCTAGGATGGAGTCATTTCATTCTTTTGCATGCTACTATCCCATTTCCCCAACACTATTTACTAAAGAGACTAACCTTTCCCTATTATTAGTTCTTGGCTCCTTTACCATGCCTGTTATAACTGACCATATAGACTTGGGTTTATTTCTGCGCTTCTATTCTGTTCCATTGATATATTGTCTATGTATGTGCCAACACCATACTGTTTGATTACTCTCTCTTTATAATATAGTTGTAGACCAGGGACCCTAATTTTTATAACTTTGTTCTTGTTTTTCTCGAATAGTTTTGATTATTTAGGGATAGTTCCATACAAATTTCAGAATTGTTTCTTCTATTTCTGTTAATAATATCATAGGAATTTTGATAGGATGTATATCCACTTCATAGACTCTTTTGGGTAATATGGACATTTCAATAAATTTAATTATTCTAATCTATGAGCACTTATCTTTCCATTTACTTATGTTTTCTTCAATACTTTTATTAATATCTTATAGTATCCGTATCTTTCATCTCCTTGGTTAAATTTATTCCTTTTGATGCAAAACTAGCTCTAATATTTTAATTTCCCTTTCTAAGTCTTGATGTAATGTCCCACTCAATCAACTACTACAAAAGACATTTTACTTTTCCTGATCAAAATGAAATACCTGTAAAGTATTTTGGGAAGTATTCATAGATCCCACATGTACAAAGGTATCAATTTCCAAATACTAAGACGTAATGCAACGGTGCACTGCTACCAAAGTGCTTTACTCATATTGCTCTCCAGACGATGTATGTCCACACACATATGAGTAGTTACCTGACTGGCAGTTACCATATTTTGCAAAACAAAGAAATTTTAAGCAAGTTAAAGAATTAGGAAAATATGAGTGAGAACAATGAGAAAACTACCTGTAATACATAAATATGTCAGTGTAATGACAATTAAGTGGAGAAAAAAGTTTTTTAGAAAGTTATCAAAGTATAATATTTAAGAGCTTAGACAGTAGAGTTAGATAAGTCCCATTCAAATTACATTCTACCACTGAAAAGATTATTAAATTTGCTAAAGTTATTTTTCATCTATAAGCCTTTGTTTTTTGTTTGTTTTAATATGTAAATCAGGGAAAATACTATCTATCCTTTAGTGGTTTTGTGATAATTTAGACAATGCATATCCTATATTTTGTATGGTGACAACACAATAATCAAGAAAGGTGTAATTGTGAAGTTTTTGTTTGTTTATTATAATTCTGGGAGACCAGTCAGTGGGCATTAATATTGATACTGTCAGAATTGCTTTTTATGCAAACAATACATTATTCAAAGAAAAGTTTTAGTTTTCTTTTAAATACCCATATTCAAGAGAATTACCCATATTCAAGGCATATTCAAGAGAAATCCATGCATTTTCAATTATTTTTAAATGAGTCTTACCTTCGCTTTTATTGCCAGTTCTTCATGCTTATGTATAAGATCCTCATTGTCTGAAAGTGATGAGCCTAAACTTTGTCCCTGTAAGTCCTTTATGGTTTCCTGAAACCAACAAGTAACCTAGGCAAAAAACAACAAAGACCAAATTTTAAATGATCAGATAAGTAAAAATTCAGAAATAATTATTTAACCTTTTAAAATTTCAGTTAATCAAACTTCTCTTTGTATAAATTCATCTCACATCTTAAACTAATATGATCAATTTTCCTTCATTTCAACTTTCACATGCTTAAAAGAAAAAAAATAACAAAATAATTTTCTGAAAATCATGAAAACAATAGTTCAATAGAGTACATGCACAAGAAAATAATTCAAAATCTCCTAACAAAGAAGAATCAGAATAGAATCCTGTGTACTTTAAATGCATTCTTTTAGAATATAAATCTTTTCTGGATAGGAGTATAAATCTGAATGTAGTCACACAGGACCACATGAAGATTAAACAGCATATATAGAATTAATTTTTCTGTAATAAAGACAATGCAAAAACTGTTTTCTACAATGCTAAAAATCTGTATCCAGAAAATTAATGAAGACATTAAAATTCTCCTGACATTATAAATGACTAAGGGTGTGATCACACTCATTTAGACTTGATTTATAATGTACACCTTATACAGTATTAACAAAACAATTATTACAGAACTTGAAAGAAGCTGTACATTTTTAAATGACATAATATAAATCAAACATGTGACTGATGACATAAAGCACTTCGATCAAGATTCCTTATCCACACTAAGGGAAGAAACTTGTATTTTCACTCTCAAATCTCACCAATATTTTTCTTATGATCATATCATAGTTGATAATTCTTAAGGGTACATGCTGGACAATTTACTAGCTGCTTTTTAACATCAGCTATCAACAACTCTATCACAGATATGATGTCATAACTGCAGAGATGAGGAAAAGTTAAGCTGCTTATTCAGTGACATACACTATGAGGAAGAGGCATGATTTACTCAAGCTTACATTATTTCTAAGTCTATGTTCTTTCTACTGTTACTCACTGCCCTGCTTGAGTAATCTAAAATCTTATAGCCATGTAATGAGAGGGAATTATTTTAAACCTGAAAAAATGAATCCTACAGCCTATTCATAATGGTGGCTATGTCCTCAGTCTGTATCTAGTCTAGGCTATCTTGCCTACAAACATCTTAAGATTTTCTGAACACTTAACAACTTGAAGAAATGTGTGAAGTAGATGACCAAAGAGAAAGCTAGGTTAGTGCTAAAGTCACATACACACACAAACACACAGAGATTGAGAGAGAGAGAGAAGAGAGAGAGAGAGTTTAGGTGCACCTAGTATTCAAATTCTATTTCCATTACAAAACTGATAATATAAAGCTGATTATGAGCGCAAACAGTCTATACCAATGCTTAGCATCTTCCAGCATGGAATAGGCAGTAAAATATGGAACAGAAGGTTTTCTCCAGCTTTTTGTTAATTGGAAATCTTTGTTAAATAGCATTTGAAAATATCAGTGCTAAGGAAAGAATAATATTGATCCTGTAGCAATTTTCATGTAAAGTATGTCTTAGTTTTTTTCAGAATATTTGGCAATCTGTGCATAAAACACACATAGTCTTCAAATCTAAAATATCACATTTATGTATTTACAATTACTAAAGATTGTCTATTTTTCTGGTATTCCAATTAGAACAAGATAATATGTATTGTGTGCATTTTAGAATCCACAGAGATTATATGTCAAGAGCTACAAAATGCATTCTTTAGCTTATTTAATTTTTGTAAAAATAGTTACTTACAAAAGAAGTAATGAGCTCAACAAAGAACATAACTGAAGGAATGACTTAATGGTTCCAGCAAATGAAATTGATCATGACTACAGCGAACTCTATGAGATTATTTAGTTTATTAGGTATTGAGAGTGAATTTTTCTTAAAGATTTATTTATTTATTCATACAGAACTGGGGTATAGGCCAGAGATGCGGAGGGTGAGAAGATTCACCAGAGATAGAGTGGGGAGCAGAACAGGCAGATCAACGAAGTACACTGCTAAGGGGTGCAGCGGGCGGGTCAGGAGGTCTGCCTTGCCATTTGGATCTCCTCTGGGGCAGGTAGGGATCGAACTCATGAGGAAGTGGCTTAATCTTCTTAGTGCAGTGCTTTAACCCGCTGCGCCACAAGGGAGGGCCCTGAGTGAATTTTATTTATTAGTTGCTACAGTGTGAGTAGTTTAGAAAGCTCAAGAATGCTTTAATAGGGAAAGTTAATATAGAATCTGAGTAAATAAAAAATGGGTACAAACAGGTGTTTGCTAATCTCTAAAAACAGGTGAGAAGTCTGAATCCTCAGATAATCCTATTCAACATTGTGAGTCAAAGACTTGTCATTTAGCATGTGTCAGCAGTGGCACAAGCCAGAAAAATAGTAAGTTGTTTTGATTTTTAGAAAGTTTCTACAGTGACCTCATCCATCTCCTATCTTAACCCTGAAAGCATACTATTTCCTGTGTGGCAATACTGTGCCCTATAAGAAAACACAGCTAAAGACTGATGATGGTATTTTTTTTGTCCTCATTTTACACCTCTCTGATAAAGCATGCTAACCCTCTAGGTTACCCATTTTTACTATCAGATTCACCAAAGAGAGATAAAGACAGAGACAAATTCACATAAAACTCAGAAGTTCATCATGTGTGTATTACATCTCATCATGAGACATTAACACATATGAGCAATGTCAGATTTACTCTGTGTGTGGTGGGATACAGGCATTATAGATTCAGTCCTTCTGCTATAAAGCAAGCCACCCTAAATAACTGAGAGCATGTCAACCATAACAGTCTGCCATCCAGTAAATCAGTCATCACATCCAAAGAGTAGCTATTGCAGACAGCTGCATAGATATTCAAAGAGGACTTTTTAAAAGTGTTTAAGTTCTATCAGCTGCTGTCTAAAAATTGGAGTGATAAGCATAGTAAATGATGTATCAGGGAATTCTGTAGAACATGGTTCTCTGCAAAAGGCTGAAGACAGAAGCCAAATATTGAGGGGGTATTGAAAGGAAGAAAGAGAAAAAAACATTCAGAGTATGCATTGGTCGTTTGCAATGATGAATTAAGGAGGGAAATGAAAACAATTTTGTTCTCTTCCCAGTTCTTACCTTTCAGGTTGGCCTAAGATACCTGTTTTTGGACATCTCATGAGAGTGACATGATATTTGAGGTATTTGGTGCCCACAATGGGGAGAACTAAGAGGAGTGGTGTAGATCTTATTTCGGAGGGACATAGGAGACACATATCAGATGGCTAAGGAGCAGAAAAGAGAAAGTAGGAAGATGCAAAGAAGCAGCAATTAGGGATAATCAATAAAAATCAAGAGTTGCATTAAATAAGGGGTGGCAGGAAAATTCAGTCAAATGGTTTGGACCTGTACTGTCTTATGTGGTGCACTAATCACATTTGATACTGATTACTCAGAATGTGACAAATTCAAATCGAGATGTTCTTAAAGTATGAAATACATAGCATATTTCATAGATTTAATATAAAAAAGCAGACATCTTGTAAAGAATATAAATATTGATTACATGTTAAAATACTATTTTAGCTAATGTTCAGTTACACAAAATATATTATTGTTTTCATTTTTAATGTTTCTTTTTCACATTTTAAGTGACTACTAGAAAATCTAAAGTCACATGTGCAATTCATAGACATTTGGAACATGTTTATTTGTTGAGTGTAAAGCTAATGTTTGAGTTTTAATTAAGATAAATTTACAATAGCAGGTACAAGGAAAATGATGGGGAGGAATATCAATTGGGTATTAACAGATCTGGGGGCTTAGTGAGGTTGGAGGTCAACATAATCACCATTTCAAAGGAATGTCTTGATTAAGGAAAGGAAGATTGAGAATGGCTATAAGGAAAGCAGAGATAATCAAACTTCACCTTTTTCCTTCTTTTTATTTTATTAGATGAGCTTTTTGTTTTGCAGGAATGAAGATGCATGAAGGAGAAGTGATACAAACATACTATAGAAAAAGTGGGAAGGTTCAAAGAGAGTAACACTGAATTTTGGGTAAAGAAAGATAGTTTTTATTGTTGGACAAACCCTCCCCACTATGACTCTGTGCTGGAAGATAAGATTCATAAACCTATGTTTACCTCTCAATAAACATAATCTTGAAAAAATATACTTAAACAGGTTATATACAACAATAAATTCTTTGGCTAAGTGGGCCCATTTGTTAAAAAAAAAAAAAGTAAGAGAAATGAACTGGATCTGCAAGAACAGTATTAGGATGGCACAAGTTACCTCATCCAGTGTTTACACCTCTCGTGTGAGGGAGATATTTGCTTTTTCAACAGATGAGGAAACTGAGACCCAGACAGGTTAAACAACTCACCTAAGAATTCCAAAACCTTTAAGAGGAAAGTCTCATGGTAGAAATGCCAGAGTTGGAATTCAGACTTTCCTTTCTAGTGCTTTTTCTATCTTTAGATTCTTATTGAAAAAAAGAATGCTGCTTATTTGGTTCTGTTGTTGTTTTCAAGATTATAACCAAACTACAGTACTAGTTTTAGAGCCTAATGCTAATAAGGACATAGGTCCTGTAACCAACCACATAGTCTCAGTGGAAATACCTCACTAGAGAAAAGAATGAGGAAGAGACAGAGTAGAGACAGAACAAGCACACACTGAGAATTTCAGTTCCCAAACAATACACCTGGAAGACGGGCTTAAGATGTCGGAAATAGAAGCAATAGAAAATGCTGTCTGAAGTCAAGGATAAACATCTCAGTGGGCAAAAAAGTAAACTTCTAAAAGTAAACAACCTAAGGTAATACATCAGACTTTCATAAACTACCACAGCCTCTTTATCTACAATTTGTTTTACACCTGAGGCCAGATCTTGTTTTTTGATCTTTGTTTAAAACCATGCAGAAGGTTAGCTAGCAATAAACAAATCAAGCCATCTTAACAGAACTGCTTAAGGGAAGATGAAAATCTCTTTAAATCACTTTCATTTACTTGTCCATGTGCATAACAATTTGTGCTGAATAACCAGCTATTAGTAGAG